TGGAGTACAGTGAACTCATTGTCATGTTCAAGAAACCAGTTTGAGATGATTTGAGCTTTGTGACATGGTGCGTTATCCTGCTGGAAGTAGCCATCAGAAGATGGGTACACTGTGGTCATAAAGGGATGGACACGGTCAGCAACAATACTCAGGTAGGCTGTGGTGTTTAAACCATGCTCAGTTGGTACTAAGGGGCCCAAAGTGTGCCAAGAAAATATCCCCCACACCATTACACCACCACCACCAGCCTGAACCGTTGATACAAGGCAGGATGGATCCATGCTTTCATGTTGTTTACACCAAATTCTGACCCTACCATCTGAATGTGGCAGCAGAAATCCAGACTCATCAGACCAGGCAACGTTTTTCCAATCTTCTATTGTCCAGTTTTGGTGAGCCTGTGTGAACTGTAGCCTCAGTTTCCTGTTGTTAGCTGACAGGAGTGGCACCTGGTGTGGTCTTCTGCTGCTGTAGCCCATTCGCTTCAAGGTTGGACGTGTTGTTGCTTCAGAGATGGTCTTCTGCAGACCTTGGTTGGAACCAGTGGTTATTTGAGTTACTGTTGCCTTTCTGTCATCTTGAACCAGTCTGGCCATTCTCCTCTGACCTCTGGCATCAACAAGACATTTTGGCTCACTGGATATTTTCTCTTTGTGGGACCATCCTCTGTAAACCCTAGAGATGGTTGTGTGTAAAAATCCCAGTAAATACCCAGACCAGCCCATCTGGCACCAACAACCATGCCACGTTCAAAGACACTTAAATCACCTCTCTTCCTTATTCTGATGCTCCGTTTGAACTTCAGCAGGTCATCTTGACCACCACCAGAGACTTCACACATAAAGCACGCCAAGGGTGAAGGACTTAAAGATATCTCTGAGGTTAATAACCGTGAAAACAACATTTCCGTGTCACTTTCAGCACGGCACGAGTCTGAATTTAATGCCATCAGATTATAGTAAAGGCAGCTCAAGGAGAGCGAAATGAAATCTTGTTCTGCTCTCCAACATCAATATATTCATCTTAACCTCTTATGTACAGATGATAAACACAAGAACACAAGAGATAAACTGTGGCATCCTGAATGTTTTATGAACAGCCCCGGACTTCTCAGACTCTTTTAGTGACTTACCGCTCAGAGGGAACTCATTCAGCGGCTCCTCTGGCAGCAGCACAGCGTCTCTCCCTCTCCTCTCTCGCCGTGTCAACAAAGCTTTAAAGATAACAATAAAAGTTTTCTTCTGCAATATATGTTTTCTGTTGGCGGTAATTCTGTGAGTAGGGATCGCTTTTTTTATTTAAAAATCTCACTGGGCAACCAAAGACAAAAAAAGTCCCCCGACTCCGAGCCCGACCGTGATGTGTGTCTCCGTCTGTCTGTCAGACCCAGTGAGCTGCAGCCTGGTCCAGTCAGTGATGTCCATGGCCTCGTCCCACTCGCAGCACTCCCACATCAGCACTGACACCATGTCCTCCATGTCAGGGTCCTACCTGGCCGGGGCCGAGGGCGAGCCCGGGGGGGACGAGGGGGAAGATGCTGAGGGCGAGGAGAACCAGGACGCCCCCATGGAGAGCCGAGGACCGTCGCAGCAGTACGGGGTGAGGAGTCCAGGGGTGGATGGATGGAGGGTACATCTGGTAAATCTTTGTCTCCTCATTGGATTGTCTCCCTTTGTGTCTTTACTTTGGTTCAGGAGTTTTCCCAGGAGCCAAAGGAACAAAACTACTCAGTGGCTGTAGAGGAGCAGGATTCAGAGGTGAGAGCAGGTGCTGATTCATGCTCATTTCATGTTTTCATCTAATTCTTATTAAGTTTTACGAGTTTGATTTTTTTTCCTCAGGGAAACGATGTCACTGAAGAGGACTGCTCCTCGCCGTCCAACGGGAAAGGTAACTATGGTGACCATCCCTCACCTTTCTCCCCTGACCTCTCACCTCCCTTTGCATTTTGTTGCTCTCAGGCCATGTGAAAAAGAAATGCACCCTTTCATACAAACTAAGAACTGAGTGGTCGATCTTAATACTGTTGCTGTCAGTAAATCTTTTTGAATCATGGCTGAGCAATGACAACCCTTTCAAAATAAAGGGATCCTATTTCAGATACGTCCACTAGATGGGGCAGTCCCTTTAGAAATGCACGTGATGTTGGCTGAAACCATCTCAACCTGCAGCATCTGGACTGGAGTGAATGGCTTCTTATGCAGTGTGTGTGCACCAGAACCTCAGGCTACTTCACAGCGAAGGCTGAGCTCTTATGACTGACTTCATTGAAATATTATTACTGATTGTCCCACTGTAGTCTTCTTCTGTGGTCACAAAACTGGACTGGATGTGGGAAGAACTGGCTCCTCACATCATATCCGTTGCCTCCATTATCTCGTAGACTGCGACCACAGCCTGACATCAGCAGCCCAAAGATACTGTCTGAGTCCCTCCACGGACACCAGTCCTTGTCTTTAATTTGTGGAGGGATAGACAGGAACATTAACTACCTCCTGTCGTGCACAGATTCAGAGACCAGATCCTCCAAAGTCTGGTTTAACTATTTATCTTTAAATGTTACAGTTACGGCTGAAGTTTGCCAACGTCACATTTCTCCGCAATTCAGAACAGTTGCCAGTTGTCTGCCCAAAAGTGATTGTTGTTGTCAGCGCGACATCACAGTGATTTGGTCTATTTAGCAAACCAGTTTCCACCGGTTTTAAGTGGCACCATTGTAATCAAGGATGTGTCATCAACGGAGGGCGTTGCACAATGCTCAACAGAAGTAAACAGTCGTAGTATGATGGCGGATCGCACTGATTACCTGTGAGCTTTTGTTCTGTCACTACAGATATTTGGGTTCTTCCAAAAAACAAGCATGGACCAAATTTTAATGAGAAGAAGGCGCCTTCTCCATCCTCTCTTTCCAACCTGTAGAATATGACACGCCCACTGACATCGTCACAGTTTGCACTTCAGGTCAAAAACAACCTGATATGTTTTTGGGTTCCAGTTGAGTGCCAACTTTTCTGCGGAAATGCTCCGACTTGTTTGAAATTAGGTGCGCGAACCAGAGCGGAGCCTGTTCCACATTAGTGAAAAGAAGTGTTAGGCCCCGATCACACAGGAAGTGTTTTGCAGGTTGCAAAATGCGAGGTGCACCCCACTGCCTTTTTTTTTAAAATTAAATGCCACTAGTGAAAAAAAAAACACTTGTTGCGCCTTTTTAATTGTTGCCAGGCAACCACGAACTCGCCTCCTTATTCTTCCTGTGTTATCAATCTACTGTTTATTTATTTTGGTTATTTGACAGTAATCAGTATGTAGCTCCTGACATGTTGAGGCAGAGGGTACTTGCTGTGGCTCTGGTTGAGGGTGAGAGGCTGTCAGTAAATAGTTTGTTGGGCACAGGGAAACAGAGATCTGTGTGGGTACATGAGACCCTAAAAAAGAGGGTGGATCATGGGGAATACCACCAGTTGGTCCAGGAGCTTCTCCTCCATGATGGATGTTTCCAGGCATATTTTAGGATGACTCAGGGGCAGTTTGACAACCTGCTGTCTATCATCAGGCCGTATAGCTCTGGGCATCCAGCAACCGCTACCACCAGTTTCTCCTCCATTGTTTACCACCACAGAAGGCCCGCCTCTCAAATCATCTGATTGGACAATGGGAAAAAAGTGACCAAAGAAGAGATGATGTGGGGCATAATTCCACTTGGAGTTGAAGTTTTTCAACTCAAGGAGTTCAGAGTGCTCCGGCAAAAACACCATGTGCCTAGAGCACAGAAACACAAGACGCGTCGCAATGCAAAAAAGTGAGCAAAAAGCTTCATTCTCATTAAAAACAATTACAAAAAGCGCCTCCAGCTGCTGAAACACTTCCTGTCTGATCAGTGCTGATTAGGGTCGTTTCCACTGTTTGCAGCAAAAAGCTCTAAAAACCGACTGCACGCTACCTGCTTGCTAACTTTTGCAAGCAGACTAGTAACACACAAAACATAAATAATACAGTTTTGGAGTTAGCGATAGGAGCATTTTCCTTGTTTTAGGTGAGGCTAACCAGCTCTTGTCTCCAGCTGCTGCACCAAGCTAACACATGTCCCGCCAGTCTCTCTACGAAAATAAAAATGACCTGCTGATATCAACCCTGCATCCCTCAGACCGAGGACCCAGCTCTGAATCAGAATCTTTTATTTATGTCGTTCCTCTCTGTTACAATCAGGGTTTCCTTATTGGTAAATGTAATGCCCGGTAATTAAATAATTAGCAACAAATATTGACTGATTCCATTTGATCGGAGCATCCTTTCATTCACAACAGGAAATGAGCACATACAGGCATCCTGTGTGGTTCAGATGAGGTTCTGCTGCACACCAGGCGACTGACTGGCCTGTATTTGCATGATCTGCACCTCTATCTACTGGATATGTTTGTGTGTACATGTGTATTTTTGCCTGTTGATTTACTGTGTGTGTGTGTGTATATGAGGTGTGTATCATTTATGTGTTTGTGCTCAAAAAAGCTTTGCAACATTTGCTGTTTTAGCTGCTGCATCGTGAAGTGAAAGCTTCTTCATGCATCTGTGTGTGTGTGTGTGCGTGCGTGTGTGTGTGCGCGCATGTGTGAAAGAGAGACTGGTGGAGTGCAAAAAGAAGTGTTGTTGTGGTGGACAGAGAGAGAAGGTTTGAAGCGAAAACAACAAGGTCACCTTCATTAGAAAAAAGTTTGAAACATGTATATGTAAATTAGTTTCTCTGTGGATTGTGTGTGTGTGTGTTTGTGTGTGTGTGTATGTGCGCCACCTGGGCCCAGACTGAAACAATCTACCTGTGTACCTGTGAGTTACCGAATGACCTTTCAGTTCTTTAGGAGACAAGCGGACCTGTGCTGCCTGACAGACTGTGAATGTGCACACGCGCTGTAGGATGTGTGTTTGCATCTTGTGCACCAGCAGCGCTGCCAGACAGCTTCTGTATGTGCCCTGTCTGTGTCTCTGTGCTGAGCTGCCAATCATCCAGTCATCCTCTTCCTCATTAGCACACACACGCTGCACACACACACACACACACACACACACTCAGGCTTGCTGCAGGCATGAGGCACTTGATGAAACCTGTCAGTATCTGTTATCTGGCCACGCTGGAAAAGGCAGGAAGATGCTCATCCAGACAGTTTATACTAATATTTCTGTCTCATTTGTCTGCTCGCCTGATTAATGAGAACATAGACACTAAAATCAGAAGATCATTCACTCCAGTGTGTCGTGCTAAAATATCAGCAAACACTGTTGAGTGACGAGTTAAGACATGAATAACATGTATACAGAGCGGTGGCTTCAAAACAAAATGGCAGGTAGTTTTAAAGATACAAGTCTGCTTATAAAATTCAAGGAAAACACAAAATATAACATATAAACTTTTATTTTAATTTTTGATTGAATTTATTTGGATTTCTTTTCTGTTCATTCATATTTTGTATTTATTTAAATATTTTATTTTTACTTATTATTTTGAGTTTTTATATGTATTTCTATATATTTTTATTTAT